ATTAGTTTGGCATATTTAGACAGAAAGTTCAAGTGGTCAATTTAAAACATCATCTGAGTCAACAACCGTTCGAGATGCTGATGGTAAGACTGGTAAATACTTTTCTCATTAATCTCTTTTTACAGAGATATTTCGTTGTAGGTGATTCAATTTGCATAATAAATCGTCATTCATCGTCGTTATCTTCTTCACCACCCTCTCAATGGGCCTATTCTCAAGTTCGACGACCAACACCTTCACAACAAGAATCTCATTATTGTCGAGAATCAACTGTTCAACTTTATCGCGAACAACAACCGTCATATTTTTACGATTTAAAATTAGCTGAATTTTTAAAAAAACAAAATGCACAATGTTTACATTTACGTTCTCTACACGTACCTACTCCATCAGCTTCTCTTACTACGAGTATTGACTATGGTTGTTTTGGTAGTTCAGATTTATCATCCGAAGACAGATCGATTGAACAGCGACATCAAATATCACAAGACAGTTTTCCGTATAGTTTAAACTCTAATTGGACAGTAGGAATGACTGTAGATGATCATAATTCATCAAAAAGGCAGTTCGTATCGACGAGGGAGTGTGTTGTATAAATGTGTGGCTTTATTTTTTGTTTTGTTATTTATATAAATCAAGGTTGATTTTTCGACCACTGAATCCTTATATGGGGCCATAGAAACGTAAAATGAATGAACACATATACAGTATGGTAGACAAAGTCAATTGTTTCTTTCAATTCTTCTAAAACAGATGAAAGCTTACAATATTCCATTTATCTTTTAGAAATTCGAGTCAGGTCAATAGACAAGAATACATAATCCTTTTTTCATTAAATTTTTCTTTTTCTTCGAACATTCATTTCAAACGTGATATTGAACGAACAAGAGAGATTATGGAAAATGTGATGGATGGTTACTTTAATAATCCTTTCGTACAAGACGACGAGAGCATGGCTGTGTGTACGAATCGTAGAGTTTTTGTTCGCCTTCTATTTAAGACTGAAATAAGGTGTAGTGATATCAATTAGAACAAACTTGATGTTCGAAAGATTTTGACGTTTTTTACTGGGTACATCCAGAAAGAATACGTAAATTACATGTAAGAAGCAGTTTTTACATGGTCACACTACTTTAGCTGTGACTCTTAAAATTTTACTAGTGCAATGTTTTCTACGAAAACTAGACTTATCATCCGCAAATTTCAAAAGAATGAAGCTACTGCACTAAGTTCTTTTACTAAATTCAGATTATCTATCATACTGTTGATGGAATTAGTCACTTATGAGACATATTTACATATATTTTTAGCTTTGATAAATGCAGACTGAAAAATATAAACGAGAAGTTTCGACTAATATTTGGTTAAAATAAACTATTTATGATGTCGAGATCAATTGTAACAGAACGAATGCACTTTAAAATGAAAAAGGGTAATGTTTTGAACCCAGTATAGTATTATTCACATATACCAGACACATTCGGCGTGTTTTCAGATGAGAAACTCTGACATTCCTGAGTGAACCTATTCCAATAAAATATGAAAGTTCCAAATACTTCATCGATCAAGTTCATCGAATTTCCTACAAGCTGAACTATTTACGATATCTTGATCAGTGAGTTTAATCGGTTCATTTTAAGTTTAGGCGTGGGATCAGTTTTTTTTCCACTTTTTCAAACTAATGCATTTTCCTCCAGTTCACTAGGTTTTCTCACTTTTTCCGAAAACAATCCATCAAAAATACTCGAAACTGCTTAAAGTCGACTAAAAATACTTTTTTATTATTCACATCCTGGGACGAGAGTGTGTGATTAAAGTACAAATAAATACACTGTCAGATATCTTTATAATCGCATATCCTTATTCATCTTGGAAAATAACACGAATAAAGCATACATTATTACTCTGAAAAGATCTTTTTAGAGTAACAACTTGATGAGGAAGTCGACTTCTTCATCAAGTCACAAACGTCTTACTATCAGACACTTACGCTTCTAGTTGGACGCGAGGCATTTTTTATAGTCGATACTGTCAGAAAAGTGAAGTGATTGAGTAGGCTTTTCTGACGATGAATCCCTATTATCACTAGGCGAACGTGAATCCAAAAAGCAACACATGCACCTATCATCATCTTCTTCCAGTT